ATGAGCCATATCTTGATCTGACAGATCGCTGGTAATAAAACAGTTAACGGATCAGCAATAAAATATGGTAAAAATTACCAGAAGACTCATATTTATTTCTGAGATGAGGAGAGAGATTTAAGAGGTCCCAGAAAATTCAATTTGACCAACAAGCTAGAGGATACTAAATGTAGATGCATGTTTCAAAGTTTAAAGGTCAGAATACTCCATGCAAAGAATTTCAAAATATATGTATAAGAATTTGAGTGAATTTGAGTACATTGTTTAAGCAGTTAAGCTTTCAATTTTCCATTACTTGTGAAAGGCACTACAGATCCTCACAAGTCTTTCCAGGCTGACATCAAACAAGAACTATTTTCACAAGTTCACATCCATTTGCTAGTAAAATTTCTGCATTTCAGCCTCTTTCTACCAAAAATGAACTCCCCACATTAATCAGTTTATGCTGAAAACAAACTCATCTTTGAGCAATGCAAAGTCCATATTCAACAAATCTGGCCAGTATTTCAGAAAACTTGGAAACAAAAACAAATAGCTAAGATAAATTATGCGATATAAATGTTTTAATATGTTGAATCAAGTAGGCTATAGATCGGAAGCCCATTTCAAAAAATATAGGGAGTTTAAAGGTCAGAATACTCCATACAAAGAACTTCAAATTATGTATTGAAATTTGAGCCCATTGTTTAAGCAGTTAAGCTTTCAATATTACATTACTTGTAAAAGGTACCATAGATCCTCACAAAATTTTCCAGGCTGACATCAAACAATAACTATTTTAACAGGTTCACACCCATTTGCAATATTCTATTATTTGCAAAATGATTTCTTTACTTGTCAATTGTCATGAGGTATTTCAATATGTGCACTATAATGGATGGTTTCAGTCAAATAGCTTTATGGTCAATATATCTTGCAGATAAACTAAACTTTGCATTTACAGTTAAAGATTACTTCTAAAAGACCTATAGGGCTCAGACTCAAGCAGCTTACTAATCAATAAAAAAGCATACAGTTAAATAGCGTTTTAATTTTGTACCATGCAGATATGACTTAACTTGCATTTACAGACAACAATTTCTTAAAATGGCACCTATAGTATTCAAATACTCACCCTTCAAGACCTTCAACAGGTTCATTTATTAACTGAAGAAACTCTGCATGATGCTCCTGGATTAATCTTAGAAGTTGAGGATTCTGCTTGCTAAGCTCTTGAAGCATTGGCTGAAAAAAAGAAACATTGTAGTGGAACACTAAATTTGCAAGATCAGTCAAGTCCTCTCTTGTAGAGAGAGATACAGACCTGTAAAATCTGTGGATTTGCTTGGACCATTGCACGCAATGTTTGGAACTACAAGGATAATAGAGAAAAATAATAATTATTCAACAATCAAAGATGCCACAAGAACAAATTAGGCAGCAGGTTATCTGCAAGATTTTTAACATGAAGGATTTCATTTATGATTGAATCACAATTTACAACATTAATCTCCCTGAAGTTCTTTTCTGCCATACTAATTGACCTTCTCAGCAAAACCAATATGCACACATTAAAAAGCCAAAAAAAAAAGTTCCTTTTTTCTTCTTTAGAATAAGGATAGAATGAACCTTACTTAATTAACCATAGGGCGACCACAGAAAACACCTACTTGTAAGGTTAAATATTAAAAATTACCAGATAAAAAAGGAAATCTGATAACTGCACCTAAAGAAAATATGACTAGAAAGGATTGTAAAATCAAATGACCCTCCAATAAAACAAAACTAAAACTCAGAGATCCACTTGTGAAAGGATTGTAAATTAATCTGACTAGATTGTAGATTCACTGCACATCAACAATGATACCTTGGATCTTGTTTTTAGTGAAAGCTGCAAACATCACCATATATCACGAAATCTAGTGAGACATAACTAACCTTGTCATAGCAAATTATGTTGTTAAACAACATTATAAAGATAATGACGTAGAGAAAGCAAGTAGAATCAATGGAAGGAGATGTGTTCTAGTATTTCTAAGGAAATCAAAAGACCCAGAGAAGCAAGTTGTAGCAATGGAATGGGGTACCTGTTCATTATTTCTAAGGAAATCAAGAGACCCACCACTAGCACCTCCACCCACAATGGGAGCTCCCTGGAGAGAATTCCGTTATGAGATACATCTGGGTGAGGTAGTTTGAAGATTATAAGCTAGGAGAAGCCTGACCTGTGGAAACATATCTAGAGGTGCAGAATTTGGCAATCCAGACAGAGTATCGCCTTCAGCAGCTGTCCCAGTTGTGTTTGGCCCTTCAGCCTGAGCAGCTTCTCCTAATGTAGGGATTCCCTGCATAAGGATATGCATATGTGATATATCAGTTTATTGATAGTTTCTAACTGCATCCCCCACAAAATATAGTGCATACAGAATATAAGTATTCCACAGCACGCTCTGGATTATTGTAAGCAGCACGAAGTGCTCGCTGAACCGTATCCTTGTCCCAGTTACCACCACCCATATCCATCAGCTGATGAACCATTGATTCCAGATTGTTTCCTGGTACCAAATTAGATGCAGGTTCATCATAAACAGGGGCCCTGCAATTGAGAGACAAGAAACCTTATCAACCGTAAAAAAATGCTAATTATTAGTCAAGTATGCATAATAATGCATCAATAACTGTCATTCAGGCAATTTGTTACAGAGAATAAAATTGGATTTTCAATAACAACGAGTAACAACTAGACAACAATCTATGAAATTTTGTGAACAAAGCAAAACTTGCAGTAACACATCAGGACAAGCAGAGTCTGTATAAATTTTATATCTCTAGCAAACCATGAAAAATTTGCATCATCATTCAAAGCATTTTAAAAGAAAGAATAAAAGAATCATGATACTTTGTGTTTCTGCTTGGAAAAGCGAAGAAATAGTTATTTTGAAATATTGAAAAATCATAATTCAACGTGAGCCTGTAATATAGACAGCAATTTCAGATATTATTAGATTTCCTTAAAATTTCTTTTTGAAGCTATAACCAATAAACTACCAACCGGGTTTACATTTCACAATTAATCACAAAACCACATGAGTGAAATGTTAGAAGAACAATAAAAGTACTTGCTGTTGCATTACAAATTTCAGAAATAAATAAGAGAACCCACAGGACAGATACAAACATGTATTGTATGAGAAAAAAAAGAAATGCATGCAAGTTGGGCTAAGATATGACTAGAATCAGGAGATGTATGCTCTTAGTTGACCATTTATACAATCAAATAAACTGAAGACTTTTTAGGGTAATGTGTTGTAAAACCAATAACGATATCTTCTTTAATTCATAACACATGCTAAACTAGACAGACATGAAAAGAAAGCATACCATAAGCATTGAGACACACCTTATGAGAAACTGGATAGAAATTACTTCAAAAACTCGGATAGAATCATTATCGGTTATGCAGTGATAAAGGCGGTGATCATTTTGTGTCATTAATAACAATGACAGATAACTGATAATTAGCCACAACAGATAACCAACTATTCTAAAAGGACATACTAAAATGCAACAATAAAGCAGTAACAAACCCATTTTCATAAGAGTAGTTTAAGACTTTTTTTCCTTTTTTTCTTTTTTGGCTGCAACATTCAGTAAACCAAATTTAATATTTGGATGGACAGCAGAAACAGCAACAGAGAAGAGGAAAATATCTCATTTAACGTATTCTGGATCAAAATTCACTTTTTTTTAGTCCGGCTTCAGGATTTTCTCTACCAAAGAGGCAAAGACTTTTATGCATAGCTCTCATTTTTATCTTGCATGTGAATTATCTAGCTTGATGCCCACAAAATCAAATGGATATAATCCAATGTCTACTGATATGGAAGATAAACTTTATATCACCCGGATCATATGATACGCCTACAATTGATAAATGACGGATCAAGCTCATAAAATCTAAAGAAAATGTTTAGAAATTTGTCACAACCATATGTCAGAGGAAGGGAGTAGGGGTGGGAGGGAGGGAGGCTGATTGCAGATGTGAAGTGAACACCATATCAAGAATAGTGAGAAAATACAACAAATACACAAACAAATTCACTTAACCAAGTAATTCAGCATTTGCTCCAGCATACAGTTAACAGCTTATCTAGTTATAAAAAAGAGATTTGAATCAGAATGCAGAAAGTAGTGCTTTACACCTATGACAACTTAATATTTGGGTATGTAAGAAATATGTCCTTTTTCAGAGGAACCATTCAATTAGAACATTATGTATTGAATGAGTGTTAGAAACAGAAGCTACGTACTCAGTTCCTCTACTAGAGCCACTAACAACGTTCTCTGAGGCCCTGTCGAAGCAACAAGAGCATGTGAGTACTAAGATACCACAGAAACATAATCAGCAATTAGCATTTAACAACCCTGCATCCTGTCATTGCTAAGCTTAACAATGTTTCTCTCAAAGAATTCACGTTGGCTCGACAGTTGAGTAATGCCAAAGATTGGAAAGAAAATAATAAGTTGAACTTACGGTGTTTGAGTGGGAACTTCACTTGGAGTGGGAGGCACAGAAGAAGCAGTTCCTGCAGGCTATTTCAATAAGGAATTGGAGTAAATTAGAAGGCGAAAACATAACTGTAGCAGTGATAAAAAAACAAATTTATGCAAAAAAGAGTACCTGGGTTGCAGACGAGGCTCCAGTGGCCACAGGCTTGCTCTGAAGCAATAGGAAATCATTATGGACCAATAATGAAATAAGGGGGAAAATATGAAAACTTAACAGACGGAAAACATTACAAAAATCATAATCATAATAAACAAAAAACAAGAAAGACACCTGAGTAGCAGATGAGGCTCCAGTTGTGGCTGAGGTCTTGTTCTGATGAAATTTAAAATTTAAAAGCAATAAGTACCACACATGAAATCTAACAATAAAGTTTCGAACAAAAAAAATATGACAACAGAAGTGCAAGAAATAAGAAAATAATGATAATTTTAGCGGGCAATGTCCGTTAACAACTGTCAAAGTTCCCAAGTACAATGCTTATTTTTCTTACATCCTGCTAAGAAAAGATACATTGCTTTGATCTAGGTAAGAATATGAGGAGTTATTTCTATTACCCAGTAGGATTTTCATAGGTTAAATATTGTTATTTTCCCTGCAAATAACATAAATCTTGAAAGAAAATAACGCCGTTAACTAATACTTATGACTAAGGCTTATATAATTTAACAAAAAATTAATTCTGAGTAATTTTAAGCAACATACTCCGCAAAAAAATCATGGATAATTCTGGACAGAAAGAAAGAAAGATAAAAAAAATCCCAATACCTTGCTGAGCATTACGACAAGAAACCCATCTTCACTAACTTGGTTCTCTTCCAATGTCGTCTCATCCTTGAGAACTTTTCCGCTGTGAATCAACAGCTGCTTCTCCCATGGGTAATTACCTCTGCCCTGAATCGCTTCGATGTTCCTCTTCACTGCCATCACCTTTTATTTGAAAACAATTCGATATTAGATACACAACAAAGCTAATCGATTGAACGCTAGTAAAGGATCAAAAGAAAGTAAAAATTTCCCAAAAAAAAAATCCTAGGGAGAAATTACTGTATCGGACGGCTGAACTTGGAGATCGAAGTGCGTCCCTTTGAGAGTCTTCACTGTCAACTTCATCTTCTAGAATAATTTAGAGACTGGAGGATAAAAAAAGAGTTCTATGGAACTTTTAGAGAGAGAAACCCTAGCAGGAGTGTGGGAAACTGAAGATGGGTATATACTCGCGGATCGATTTTGGGGGCGAAAGATGTCATTCCTTTTAAAAATTCGACAAAATCTTTGGTAAATACTACCTTCCATTTTTTAAAATATTTTATTTAAATTTTAATCCATTATAATCATAATTATATTCTATTTTGATGTCACGTAAATTATCTATAACTTAATAATTAAAAAAACGATTAATAAGTTAGATAAAATATTATAACAATAAAAAAAAAATTCAAAACAACTAAAAATTATACAAAATACCTTTAAATATTCAAAATTACACAAAACACTATCACATATCAAAATTTAAAATAACAAATATAAAATTTAAAAATTAACAATATCCTCTAACAATATCCTCTGAAGAATTTAAAATTTATAATTAATACTTTTAACATTTCAAAAATTATAGAAACACCCTCAAAAGTTTAAGTTATAAAAAAAGACCATCAAAGCTTACAAACAATATAGATGAATTCTAGGAATTGACATCAAACTTGAACATAGATTCCCCTTTCTTCACGGTAAAAAGCTCTTTGTGCATCAATTAAGCCTCAGGGATGATACAGAAAGATAATACATGAATTATTATTAAAAAAATTGTTGATGCTCGTGAACAAATAGTCGATGAGGGTTGCAGAGTTGCAGAATCGTCGAGATGTTGAATCGTCGAGAGGGGGCCGCTTTCCTTCTTCGACTTTATGCTTGGTTCTTAGAGCTCGGGACGGACGGACCACCTGCACATACAAGAATCGTGGGAGTATGGGGCTTGTTTCCCCTGTGGTACCTCCGACGGTCAAGTTAGCTATCGGACTTAGGTGGGGTGAAGGAAGAACAGTGTATCCTCCCCAAAATAAAAGGTGTAGTTTTTAAGTAGTAAGGAGAATCCAACCCCTATGTAACTAGAGAATTTTTTTTAGGTTCAGGAGTGATGGAGAGACCGAACCTCTTTTCAGGATGAATAGCATATGTATTTATAGAGGATGCCAAGGACAGAATAGACACTTCGTGAGTGTGCGGTCTAGGATGGTGGTGAGGGGTGAGCTGAAGGCCGAGTCACCCTTTGCTTTATACGTGTCGATTTGCGAGTGATGGAAGGTCACTTTAGTGATATAGGGAACCCGCAGCTGCCAAGTCTTGTTGATGAGTGGCGGGAAGTCACTTCAGTGTCGCAGGGAACCCTCAGCCGACAAGGTTCCAGATAGCTGAGGACGGAGACATAATGATGATCATAAAAGGTTAAATAATGCTGAGAAGAAATGTTCTGAGCCGCCCTTGGGAGGAGTGTCGGCTAATTGCTAAGCAGTAATCTTTTGTTATGAAGAGGTTCGACTGAGTCCGCCTTTCGAGTCGTCTTTGAGGAATGGAAGCAGTAATCTTTTGTTATGAAGAGGTTCGACTGAGTCCGCCTTTCGAGTCGTCTTTGAGGAATGGAGACTACTCGACTGAGGGAGTGACGGCTCGCGAGACAGTATATTCGTGAAGTATAGGGGATACCCCATAACAGTTAGCCCATTTCGCTTAGATGTGGCTATGGCCGGATCCAAGGGAAAAATAAGTGAGCAGAGACTGAGTAGAATTGATTTTGACAGTGAGATGACGGCGAGTCTTCAGACGGCGCGGATAAGGAAACGACAATTGTCATTCCGCTAATGGAAAGGGGGACTGAAGCCCCTGTGATGCCTGCTCCTCCTGCTGCTGCTGGTGCTCTGGGCCAAGAGACTTCGGCAACTGCTGATGCGACCGCTCCACCTCCAGAGGACCTCGTAGGTCAAGAAAATGAGAACTACTTATATTTCCTTCCTCCCCTTTTTGTCATTGTAAATGTACTTTTGACTTCGTAAGTGAGGGGTTAATGAAGAAGTAAATTTGTCTTGAGTGTTTAAAACTCTTGACCCCCCCCCCTCTCCTTTTTTTTAATTGACCTTGAAGTTGAGTGCCCAGGCTCGAAAGAGTCGACTAGGCCTTACCTTTCCCCTAAGGCCGAGAGACGACTGTGGGAGTCGGCCAGAGGGTTGTGTATTGGTTTTACCCTGAGGAGGTACCAAGGTCTTTTTACCGACTGAGGAGTCAGGTGTCTAGCTGACTAGGTCTTCCATTTACCCCTAGGACCGAGAGGCGACTGTGAGAGTCAGCCGAATGGTTGTGCCTTGGTTTTACCCTGAGGAGGTACCAAGGACTTTTCATCGGCTGATGAGTTGGGTGCCTAGCTGACTAGGTCTTCCATTTTCCCCTAGGGCCGAGAGGCGACTGTGGGAGTCGGTCTAAGGGTTATGCCTTTGTCTTACCCTGAGGAAGTACCAAGGACTTTTCTTCGACTGAGGAGTCTGGTGCCTAGCTGACTAGGTCTTCCATTTTTCAATTATTATGATGACACAAAAGTTTGGCTAAAGTCGTTTCATCAGATATATTATCAATTATCTAAGGCATGCATTCTTCATAGGGAATTTTCAACATTCAAGAGATTAAACTGAAATCTTAAAGGAAATACCGTCGTAGGAGTTCAATGTTCCATGGATGACTAAGGATTCGTCCATCTGGAGCTTTCAACCGGTAGGTGCCGGCTCTGAGCTGTGTAGGGACCTTCCCAATTAGGAGCCACCTTCGGAGGAGATTGGTCCACTCCTCGCTCAGAACCTGACATTTTTTCTCAAAAAGAGGAAAGTGGCCCCACGGTGGGCGCCAAACTGTTGATGTCTGGAATCACACAGCCAAAAGAGGAAAGTAGCCCCACGGTGGGCGCCAAACTGTTGATGTCTGGAATCACACAGCCAAAAGAGGAAAGTAGCCCCACTATGGGCGCCAAACTGTTGATGTCTGGAATCACACAGCCAAAAGAGGAAAGTAGCCCCACGGTGGTGTTAGATCCTAGAGGGGGAGGGTGATTAGGGTCTTATGCTAATCTAATCTGATTAAATGTCAATTAAAATTAATTAACAAGTTATCCTAGTAAGTATGAAGTACAACAATATATATGAGCTAGGATAAGCAAACACAAGGGTAACATAAACAAATAATATAGTGGATGAAATAAACAATGAGATAAAGGCTATAAAGATGAACAAATATAAGTGTGCTAAGCTAAACTCAAACAAGCAATATGATCACGGAGTTCGGACCTTCCGTCCTACGTCTCCGCTCCCCGCTCCCGGGGAGAAATCCACTATTATAATCCGGTTTGGAAACCGGAACTTCTACACACTCGGTTTATAAGTTCACCGAAAACTCTCACACAACAAACACTATGCAATCACACTTTACACCCACTAAGTGTTGGACCTAGCCGTGTCTCCTCAAGTGCTCGGTTACAACCTCTCCCTAGGTTCGTCAACCGACGCCACTCCCCTTGGAACGATCCCCGACTCTCACCACACACTCCTCACTCGGTGTACAAGTGTATTACAAAGTGATTCTCACGATAAGCACAATATAACAAATGATTGTTCTCTCTAACAATGTGAGAACTCAATTAAGCACAACTCAAAGTTACAATCTCTTACCACCCAACTATACTATGTATGTAAATACTAAAAGCTCAATGTGGGTGTGTGTAACAATGAGTAAAATAAAATCTAACTCAAATAGCAAACTAGCAATAGTAAGAATATGAAATCAATAACGAAATTGCTAGAGAAAAGAGTTAGAAAACTTCTCTACAAAAACAAAGAAGAGGATGAAGAGGATTGAGAATGAATCCCTCAATCCGCAGTGAAAACTTCCTCCTTTGTAAACAGAAACCCAATCTTTTAAACAAACAGTAAAACCCTAAACCCTTGTTTAAAAACTTTGTTTAAAACTCTTCTTAAATCACTTGAAAAGAGATCAGCAATTGGGTATTTATACCCACTCAAGATCTCAACAAAAACACTAAACAAAATGACAAAACAGTCCCAGACAAATCAGCTCAGAAATAGCCGTTAGTGTCTAACGGATCTATTGGCGGTCGACCGACGGTCGACCGACGGAGAACAAAAACACTAAGAACTGTTCTGGACCATCGTCGGTCGACCGGTGCGGTCGACCGATGGAGCTCTCGGTCGACCGCATCGGTCGACCGACCAACTCTCTGCTGCCCACTGCCGACTTAACATATGAGCGGTCGACCGGATCGGTCGACCGATAACTGATACTTAAAAATCTGATTTCCTGATTTTAAAACACTGTTTAAAATATCAAATAAATTCTAAAAAATGTAAAACTTTGGGGAATGATTGTAGACATGATAATAAACATGCTACAATGACCGGTTTCCAAAAAGAACTTTCCAAATAAAAAATATCATCATTTTACAAAATAGTCCAAAACATGAAAATATGAGATACTTGAATTTTGATGTTTTGACATAAACCAACTTTTGAAACTTTATAAAATATTTTTATAGACTTAGTAAAATATGTATAAACTGATATTGAAGTCTACAAACTAAGAATACAATATTTTCACAAAATTGCATATTCTATGCAATGTTTTCAAAAACACAATAGTAAATATGAAATATGTGATTTCATATTATAAACATGAAAACCCAAAACATATGTATGTATATATATAAAACTATATATATGCATAGAAACCAAAACTTATGTATATATATATAACTATATATATATATATATACATTGAAGCTCTATTCCATCCATCCTCCAAACTCGTTGTTTGTCTATAATAAATAAGAAAACACAAATACTAGACAAATAATATTAGAAGTAAATTGTTTGTTAAACATCATCAAAACAAGAAGGCCAACAATCTCCCCATTTTTGATGATGACAAACAATTTACAAAAAGGATATATGCATGAAAGGAAATGAATATATAAATTATAATTCACATGCATATATGAAAGGAAATATATACTCACAATATTTCTCCTCCTTTGACAACATCAAAAAGGGGACAAAAGAAATAAGAGAGCGAAAGCTCCCCCTATCAATAAGCACGGGTGAGTATCAAACATAAAAGGTATAGGGATTGCTCCCCCTATCAAAATGCCATATGGAATATATGCAATGAATATCATGGCAAACATAT